CGTGACAGTATGTTTGAGATAAATTCCCAGGATGGTAACTGACTTACTCAAGATCTTCCCACTGCAGGAGGAGAGCTGGGACCGAGACAATTCACGTCTAGCTCCAGTAATCTTCCTAAGCAGTTATTGTGGAGATCATTCTCAGCTCAGATTTGGCTGGTTTTAGATTGGGACATAATATTTGGAGCTGGAAGTATACTAGAGACTCTGGAACATACATGGCGTCACTGAAATTATACCCCAGCCGCCTTCATTATTATCTTTTTATGAGTGTTCTTTTTTTATGATGCCTCCATTAAATCTTAACTATACGCAAAGAAGAAAGAGGGTAGGATAATTTCAATTCAGGTTTTGTAAAAAAAAAATTTATTGCTTATCATATCATAATCATTGTGTTATATATATTACAGGCACTATTTAAAAAGAAAATCATGTTTCTTTCCTCCAGGGGAATAGATTCATGCATTACCTCGAACAAGGAAAGTAGAAGTAGGAATTCTATAGACCAAGTATAGTAAAATACATCACACAGATGTAGGAGAAAGCAAGGAGAGGTTCTTCAATCAGCACAGTTTGTTGTGTGCAGTGTCTTACGTCTGAATTTACAAAGAGGAGGTCCCCAAAGGGGAAAGGCTTATCAACGAGACAGGATTCAGAAGCAGATGCCGGACCAAACTCCCCTAGATGAGTCTATGCACCGGAAGTCAGTGTGTGTGGACGGCATCTGCTTGTTCCTCGTAGAACTGCCTCCTGGGCCTGCGACGGAGGAGGCTGCCTCTGACGGGCCTGAAGGCCAGCTTGAGAGCAGCAGCCGTTTGAAAGCTGCCAGGCCCTGTCCCTGTTGCCCCTCCTGCAGAGCCCTGAGGGAAGACTTCCTTTTTACTTTTCACGCCAACAGAAACCGGGTCCCCTAAGAACCAGTATTTCTGTCCCAATAAAATCGCCAATTCTGTGTTCCCTTTTGGCCTCCTTGCTGGCGAGCTCAGAATACTCCTGTCCCTTGTAATGAGCACCTGTGCACTTTTTCTTTCCTTCTTTGATTTTTCTAGTGTATGAAGTCCTTGTGCATGTTGTCTTGTTGTAAGCTACTTCAGGTCCTTTAAAAAAGGGGGGCTTGAGTATAAAAGCAAATAAATGCAAATTCCCCCTCGTCCCCCCAACTCTCCCAGCAGGCAAGGCATTGCTGACCTCTGGGAGTTAGCAATAATGGCCTTGCGGTACCCAGGCAGCTGCACCGCTGCTGGCTGCCTTTCCAGGGCTCTGTGGGGAGGAGCAGGAAGGAAAGGAGGCAGCAATGCTCTTATGGGCGCTGTCAGGGCTCAGCCTTCTGCACATGAACGTCCTGACTCTGCGTCTATGGGTTTATGAACTTCCTGGTCCACTGAGCATCTGAAGGATGTATTTGTTGCCTGGGAAACGGGAGAGGGGTCCCAGAGGGAGATGGGCAAAGCAAAGCTGGCTGGTTGGACAGCTGCTTTCTCTCCACTAGGAGGGAGGCTGTATCGGACCTTCGTCCTTTTCTTACCCACGCGCTGAAGAAGCGAAGGAAAGAGGCTGCTTGCAGAAGGAAGTGCACAGCGAGGCCTTCCTATCTCCCATGACCCCCGTGTGTGGGAAGTACCTAGCAATACCCCATGTATGCACTCACGGGCAATGGTACAGGCTGCCCATGTGTGTCCTTCACCCAGGCGCACTGCCTCTCATTAACAGTGGACTTTCGTTTCAGTAAATTCCCCCCCCCCCCCACAAAATACAAAAGAATGTAATACATTGTCTTTATTGTCTGACATTACAGATTGGTTTTACACTTTTCTTTCTTTCTCTTTCTTTCTTTCTTTTCTTTTCTTTCCTTTTTTTTTTTTTTTTACACAGACCAGGGGGATGAATAAAGGTTAAAAATGTGTCCAGCATTTTCCAAACATTCTTTGTTACACCAAACACACACAATGAATAAATAGGAAAGAGAATACAGAAGAATCAAAAGGCAGGTTGAAAAAAGGACAGGCTGTCATTCTAATCGACCCATGGGGAGACGGGAAACTTTTTGATAGTCCTGGGGGCAGGTGTGTTGTCATACACAGCATGGTACATGCATTGGAAAGTAAAGTAAAGCTGGGTTTTGCTGCTACTGGATTATGATTAGTTTTTGAGAATGCTGCTCCCTCTGCTGGCCTCTGAACCACAGGGTTAGAGACAAGGTTTCAGCTTGGAGTTTGGGCCACAGTGCTAGCCGCGGGGTCCCTGTTCCTAGAGATGGAGGTGAGAACCCTGGGAGCTCCCAGAACAGAGAGGCCCTCAGTGAGCAGAGGTGGCGGAAAGGGTCCTATTGGTTTGAGATCACTGTCCCCAACGGTAGGGGTTCTGCTGGGGAGAACGAAACAGTGGGACGTGAATAAGTACCGAGTATAGTCTTTCTCTCAAAAGATTGAGCACATTTGGGGGAATTGGGGCTTAATACTTATGTAACACGAAGAGACAGAGTTGACTAATTTTTGTAAAAAGAGGTCCCACACCTTTTCAGTAAAATGGAAACTGATTGGCTACTCGCAGCATCACGGGATGTCCCGGGAGCTTCAGTGAGCTGCGGGAATTACCTACTGTAGCTTTAGCCTCTGGGATGGGTACCTTCCTATCAGGGAAAGGATTTGCTCCATGACCCAGAGATGCATGAGGCTGGTTTGATATTTAGACACCCCTATCCCCCTCCCCCAGAGATCTAAAAAGTGTCCCACAAATGACAATTTGTTCCCTCTTTTCATAAGTGTAATAGTTCTTTTGATGCTGACAGAGTCATAGTTATAAAAAATGCTCAATTTAATATATTTCAATTCAAGCACTATATTGAAAAGGAAGCAAATTAGTATGATTTTTTTTTTCTCTTTCCAAATTGAAGCATGAACATACATTAGAGGCAAAAGCAATGAGAGAAACAGCAGGACGGCAGGCCCCTCCACTGTTAGTTAAGACCTGCAGTAGGGAACATAACTTACTCCCTGCTTCAGTTCTTCTTCCTACAGAAAGATGGAACCAACAACAGTTAGGTTACCCAGGGTTCCGAGAAGAGCATACAGACAGGGTGAAGGGAAGCAGGTGGGGACACATCAACACAGCTTTGGGGGCAGGTCAGCTCTCTTTCTACCTCTGTGTTGTGACTTCAGTCCTAAGTCTTAGGTATCAGGAACTACAGACTCATCTTCTTCCCGCCCTGTGCCAACCATCTTTCAGCACAACCTGCCTGTCATGATGTATGTACATCCTGATACCTTAGGCTGTTCCGTTAGGTCGCTGCCTTGATGGCTGGGGGTAAACAGACTTCCATCCAGTGCGATGGTGATAGAGTTTACAGGAATATAAGAAGGGGGATGTGTGCAAAGCTCCCTGTCACTTAGTGAAGAGGAAGATGGGACCGGCCTTCTTCATTTGGTGTATTTGTAAAGGAAAGCGGAAAGAGCTTCTCAGGGTCATCGATTGAGAGGACAGGCCAGAAATAGCAACAAGTTGTTAATGATCTGGCCCCGTTTTAACACATACAGAACCACGGACACTGAATTCTACACCTCGCATGCCTAACACGCTGACGGTAGTGTAATAATAGTAACGAGAAAGCTTCCCAACTGATGGCGGGAAAAGTCAACTAAGAAATAAGAAAGAGTAAAGCAAACAAAAGAAGTGGTAATGTACGGCAGTGCCTGATAGGTTCCATGGTAGGTTTCAACCAGTATTTGTTAAAGAAAAGGAAGGAAGGAAGGGAGGAAGAAAAGGAGAAGGAGGAGGAAGAGGAGAAGGAGAAGGAGGAGGAGGAGGCAGCAGCCAGGGAAGGAGAGGGAGAAAGGAAGGGAGGGAAAGGAGAGGGAGAGAGGACGGAGAGAGGGAAGGAGGCATGGGGGAGAAGGAGGGAGAGAGGGAGAGAGAGAGAAAGGGAGAAGAAGGGAGAGAGAGAGAGGGAGAGAGGGAGAGAGGAAAAGAGGGAGGGAGGAGGAGGAGGAGGAGAGAGAGAGAGAGAGAGAGAGAGAGAGAGAGAGAGAGAGAGAGAGAGAGAATACAGACACAATAAAGGAAGGTGTGCCAGGGATAGGAGGGATCCACGGATGGACTGGGAGTCAGCACCTCTGCCTCACAATGAGAGGCCCCAGGGACTGTGTCTCTGTCATCGTAAGGGGAGTTCTAGTCATTGCCTTTGGCATCCTGGCTCATGCGTGTCTGTGTCAGGCCAGAGGACCACACAGTGCTGAAACTTCTACTGGGGTGAGCATGGACATGTGGTCACAATTCGTCTGCTTTTGACTTAAAACGGGACCCAGTGTACGCTGAACAGGGGCTTAGGGCTTAGGGCGTGTGAAAGGAAGAATGTCACTTCCCAGTGGGAAGAATGGTTGCAGCACTCTGCAGAGGCCTCCCAGAGCTCCACATTGAAGCTCTGCCCTCAGAAAAGCAAGGAGATCAATAACATTTTCAAAGAAGCTCAACTTTATGAAACTAGATTTGTTAGTAATTTATCAGGAATTTTTTTTCTTTGCCCAAGAGATGAATATTTCTCAGGCAACAGGATTAAAGAAAAAGGAGGTATTTCCATTTATAGTTTGCATTCGAGACCCATGGAACTTATGTGACTTGCTGCTAAAGCCTCCCAGGTATGATTTTTTTTTTTTTTTTTTTTTTTACTGAAATTAATGAAGTTACTTCTCTGAATGAAAGTACAACCACCAAAAGTTAATTCATCACTACATCTTCACTTCATGAATTAGACATTAGCTGCTGTTCAATTTAACCAGAACTGCTGAAAGCTAGTAAAGTAAATGTTTCTAAATAAATCCAGTTCCATGATAGACCTCAGTCATCAGTTTCAGAAAATGGATAAGGATAAGCCTGCTACTTGACTGCTGTCACGTGATGTAGCTGAGAAAAGCTCTGATGTCTAAATTTAAGACAAATCACATATCGGGATTATAGAAAATGATGCACAATATGTGCACAAAATTTCACAAATGCCAGCGTCTTACCTTGAGTAGCTTCATGAGACCTTCTAACTGGACCATCAGCTCCCGCCGGCTCTCCTGCAGAGCGGACATCCTCTGCTCCAGTTCATCCTTGCGCTGTCTGAGAAAGCAGCAGCGGTCATCAGAAACACATTCAGCAGCCCAGTTACTCACACTTCCCCATCTGGTGAGACTAGGGGATCCCCAAGGGAAGGGCATATCTGCGTGTTTGACATGGTTACTAGGCAGGGAACTGTCCAATGACTGAGCAATTAAAGCTCTGAGGTGTACATTTATTTGTTAGAAATTATACTAAAATAGAATTAAAATCCTTTAGATACTTCTCTTCCTTTATGCTAGATTAGCCTTAGATAAAATCTTTTTAAAAAAATTATTTTTATTCATTTCAGAGAGGAAGGGAGGGGGAGAGAAATAGAGACATCAGTAATGAGAGAGAACAATTGGTCAGCTGCCTCCTGCACGCACTACACTGGGAATTATGCCCGTAACCTCAGGCATATGGCCTGACCGGGAATCGAACTGTGACTTCCTGGTCTATAGGTCAATGCCCAACCACTGGCGTGAACCACACCAGCTGGCCAAGATGAACTCTTTTCTTAATACTTACTATGTCATAGCCCCTGTGCTATGTCATTGGGTTTCCTTAACACAACAAATAAAAATCAAACCATCACTGAAAAAGGCCAATCCCCATCCAGCTGGTGTGGGTCAGTGGTAAGTGTTGACCCATGAACCAGGGAGGTCATGGTTCCATTCCTAGTCAGGGCACATTCGGGATTTCAGGTTCAATCCCCAGTGAGGAACTGCAAGAGGGAGCCAATAAATGATTTTCTCTCATCACTGATGTTTCTATCTTTCCCTTGCCATTCTTTTTCTCTAAAACAAACAAAAATATATTAAAAAAAGGCCAAATTCCACAAATTCTCCAAACCCAAGAATCCTTTTATAACTCTCACAAAAAATACTTATTACCTTAATGTTTGGAAATTGGATTTAGAAAAGTACATTTTCCATCTGTTCCATCCTAAGTATGCAAAGTAGTGCCTTTTAGAGGTCAAATATTAATTTTGCATAGTAATTACAGTCAACCTAAATTTTTTGGTTTTAGTTTGCTTTAAGTAAAGTCAGAATAAAGAAATTCCTATGTAATTAACTAAAAATAATCTACAAGGCTTGATTTTGTTTAATTTAATTTTGTTTTGTAGAACAATTAAACTGACAAGAAGAATGGAATTGTCACGCATGACAATCTATACTCTTATCAATGATGTTGACAATAAGAGGTATCAAAAATATCTGTAAGAGGGGGGATAAATGAAACAGTATCAAGGTGAATATTAATGGCTCACATTTCTGAAGTATATGTATACCTTTCAAATCAATTTAAAATTCGATTATTGAATGACCATTAGTGAATTAGTAATACATTTTTTTTTCTTGCCCCAAAGGCTTCTCTGTGTGCGTCGGAAATATTGAAACTTATATTTTAACAATGTGTGGATGTTTTTAAACAAATGTGCATTAGCGTAGGAGTGGGCATGCCTCGACTCATGGCACAGACACAGTGTTAGGTGGAGCTACAGCAGGGACTCTGCAATGAAAAGCTGACAATCTGAAAATGAAATGTCACACTGAGTTAGGCCGAGGGCTCGTCCTATTGAGGGATGCTCTGTGGGAGGACAGGCTATAGAGATAAACGAGACACCTCTAATTTCCTTTCAGATAGGCTCGATCCATAACGAATGACCGATTTAAAATTGATAAACACACCTCAACTCTTATTAAATATATTTTCAGCTTTTCATTGCTACTTAAGGCTTACTACCAGGGCAATCTTTCCTTTGACTTCTTTAACAACTGCCTCTTTCCTGAATCCTGTGGATAAGGAACAGCAATTCTATGCAAGAGTGAACGTGGAGCAGAGCACATAGAAGTGTTGGGTTAGCACAGAGAAAGGCCCATTAGGTCATCCTAGTTAGCTGTTAGATCTGACTTACAAACTTGGCTTTCAGCTTTGTTGTGGCTAACGTGAAAAGGAAACTATGATCATTTAGAAAGGTCACCGTGTTTTCCAGATAAAAAAATAAACTGTGATTTCACGAGGAGCAAAGCTCTGCTCTGTTCTCCCCTCTCCTGTCCCCGAGCTAAAAGAACTTGGGCCAGTTGGTTTCTCAACAAAAGGGCCTAGGAAGGAGGGAATGGAAGGAGAAGTCCTCTGTCAGAGCTTCAGAAAGGCGTTTCTGGGGCTGTTTTACTTGGCCGCCCCTCAATGTGAACGGAGGCCAGAGTAACTATGCAAGAGGCCATTGTCTGGGCGTGCTTTCAAAATATGACATGACGAAAGAATAAAGCTTAGGACACTGGTTTCTTAACCTGGGATGTCAGGGCATCTGTGAAATCCATGAGTTGTGAAAGTGCTTAGCACAGAACAAGTGGTTTATAAGTTCCTAGAGAAATATTCTCTTTAAAAAATATGGTTTTATTGACTTTTAGAGAGAGGAAGGGAGAGGAATAGAGAGACAGAAATATTGATGAGAGAATCAGTGATCAACTGCCCCCCTGCATGCCCTCTACCGGGCATCGAGCCTGTAATGTGGGCATGCGCTCTGATCTGAAATGGAACTAGTGATCTCTTGGTTGATGGGTTGAAGCTTAACCGCTGAGCCCTATCACCAGGCTAGAGACATACTCTTAAAGTGAAGGTATTTCTTGCAGGCAGAAGAAATGTGTAGAGTGTGAAGTTAGGCAAAGCAAATCAGCTGGGATTAGGTGTCTCAGGCCTCAGGCCTCAAGCCTCAGGTGAGGGACACCAGCTGACAATGAACGCCAGAGGTACATGGGTTCTTGCAGGTCAGACTCCGTCGTGTAACTCTAGGCTCAGCTGGGGCCATGGAAACATCAAGTCAGGACCAGAGGGGAGAAATGTCAGTTGGAAAACTCATCAACAGTGACCCAGGCACATCAAGATGCCTTCCCAGACTGGATTATCCAAACGGAACCAAATCCGTTGGAAGGCAAATGCTAACTGGTGGGGATGGATGAAAATGCTTATGAAAAATTCCTAGTCATCATCCCTCCACTGGAGAATGGGACAGCCAGAAGAAGAGGCATAAAGGACATTTCAGGTGGAGAAAAAGTGCTCAGATGTGTAGATGAGGGACCACTCTGCTCCCAAGTTACTTTATTCAGTTATATGACTGCATGTATCCAACTTAATTTTCAACCTTTGAGCTTGGAGGGCCTACACCATCCTCTTTGGTGAAAGATACTTTCAAACAGCCATTCTTTTTATAAGCCTTTGAGGAGGAGGAAGATGTGAAACATCACTTTGTCCTTCTTTTCATTTTTACCCTTTCTGGGGATGGTGTGGTAGAATGTGAAAAAATTTCTATTCATCTCTCTGAAGACAGACCCAAAATCAAACAGGTTGGAAAGGAAGAATTCCTGTTTTGTCGGTTAACTGATGTAGTTATTCTAAAGTATGATGTGACCTCAGCAGCCCCACCAGATGCAGGTTCTGTACGTTTCCTTTCCAAAACTCAGATTTACTTCCCGTGGAGGGCTGGTCCCACCAGCCAGGTGCATGGGTCCCAGGTCCTGCAGGCTCGGCCAGAGGTGCTACCGTGCTCAGATGTTAACATGTCTGAAGAGCAGGGTTAGAGAGGAAGCCCAGAAAACATCCACACCTCCCATCACTAGGTATTTGGTAAAAAAAACCCCACAAAACCTAAGGTCCCTTCCAAATAGAACCTTCATTTAGTGGCTTCCCAGGAGGAAGTAAATGACAGCCTAACTCTGGCAAATGTTTTTGAAAAGAGGCATCGGCACAATCGTGACCCACCTCACAATGGGGACGTGACCTGGAAGAGGCATCCGTGGCTGGTTTTGCTGTGTGGACATCACAGAGTGCACTTAACAAACCTAGATGGTCCAGCCGGCACACCTAGGCCACATGGGATAGCCTGCTGCTCCCAGGCTACATGCCTGTAGAGCATGTTCCTACCTGTGCGAGGCAGTATGAGAGCACATCAAGCACAGGACAAAACGATGCTATCAAGAGACAAAGTTATCAGGAGATGTGTGAGGCTGCTGCTGGCGCAATGTGGCACACTGTTTTACAGCAAACTGTGTTTTAAAAATAGAAAATAGAGTCTGCACTAAAATAACGATAGAAGGTATTGTATTGTAACTACATAAAGTGGAAGCATGGTCGTTCATGATCATCGTCAAGCATTATGTGCTGTACGTCGTTGTATGTGCTATACTTTCACCTGCCAGGCAGCTCAGCAGGCCGGTTGACACCAGCGTCCTCAACGCACCGAGCCACCACGACATGACGACCACGACATCATAGGCAACAGGAACTTTTCAGTTCCATTACAGACTGTACGGTCTGTTGTCTACTGAAACAGCGCTGCGTGGCACGTGACTATATTTAAAAAGTATGCCCCATGTCAGGAATATACTTGGCACCCAAACCGAAAGGTGGCAAGTGTGCTGTTCTTGCTAACTGAAAGTGCCTTGTGAAATAGGACACTGCTACGAGGGAATGCCTTTGAATTTATGTTCGTTTTGTTTGCTACCCATATAGGTTTGGGCACGTGCCTTAGGCAAGGCAGGGAGGGAAGCCAGTTTGATGCCTTCCCTTCGCTCACAGTGCAGAGGGCGCCAGGCCCTCACCCACATCCTGCTACTTCTACCTTCCTGACGCGGAGAAGGGCACTGAGGTTTGGGGGTTGGACTGGATGGTCCTTTCCAACTCCAATGCTTTATGTTGACAGAGGAGGTAAGCCCAGGTCTTTACACTCAAATGCAGCACAAGAAAGTGTGGGGACCATGTTTTAAGATCTGTAAGTAAAGCGATTAGGGACCCAGATTTAGAGAAAACCAGACTCCCTTTTATGGGTTCCAGGTACATATCTAAATGTAAAAATGTTTTGATCACTTGCATTATAAACACACTTTTGAGGGCACAAATAACTCAAGAAATCTGATTTAAATTTTTTTCCATGCAGAGATTTTGTTTCTGGCCTAAAGGATGGTTTCCTTTCCCTATATCAAATGAAAGAATAAAATAGAAACAGCTTCTCCCTCCAACCGCCAAATCTCAGCAATAAGGTGTGTGCAGTTAAAAAAAACAAGCGAAGGTCAGAAGCTGGCGAAGGACCAGTGCTGGCTGGCCTGCTAGGCCTCCGTGAAGACACGGGTGCCGGTCCACCAGAGGCCCGGGGGCTCCTCTTACCTGAGGAGCCGCAGCTCCGCCAGCAAAGTGGGGTTTTGCTGCGCCTTCTCTGGGGTGGGCTGCGAGGCCTGTTCGTGCTCCAGCCGCAGCCGCTGGATCTCCTGTAAGATTTCTCTTGGGAGAGAGGAGGAAGCAAGAGACCAAGGTCAGTCAACTCTCAGAGCATCCTGGACCTCACGTCTGAGCAGAGCGGCTCAGGGCCACCAGCGCCCAGAAGGGGAAGAGGTCACCCTACGTTTCTGAGCAGCACCCACCCTCCCTCACCCAGCTGTTTACGAGGCGTGGCTGCAGCCAGCGGGCCACGTGGAGGAGAGAGTCCGACTCCCTCTTTGGTCCATCTGAGCTGGGAGGAGGCTGTGGCACTCCTGAGCCTTCAGGCTGAGCATTCCCAGCAGGACCTGCTCCTCTCTCTAGTGGGGAATATCCCGCCGTGGGCATGTGCTTGGCTTGGAAGAGTGCACGGCTAACGGGACAAACACGTGTCTTCCTGTTACTTATGGTCACACTGACACCAGACAGGGGCTGCCACTTCCAAGGCAGAGGGCTCAGAGGGGAGCCACGGATACACAGTGCTCGTTTCACAAAACGTAATTACCCCCCCCCCCCCACTGGCCAGGAATGATATCGCGCTCACGGGATTTATCTGAGCAAAATTCTCTCTCCTTTCCTAACACTGTCAGCCTTAGCAATGGATCCCAAATAAAGCAGCCTTAGAGGGAAAGCGGGTTTAAGGGGATTCGCTGTAATTGCGTCTGTGACATGAGAGAGCTCTCGGCGTGACCTCTGTCAGGGGTGAGACTGATGTGGGGCCCGGGCTGCCCTGCGTGGGGGTGAACACCAGGCCGACCATAAAGGAGAGGCGACCCGTGTAAGGCAAATGGCCCCGAAGTGAGCTAGAAGCCATTAGCAAGGTAACAAGTCACATGTTCCTGGGGGAGGGGCTGGGCTCCAGCCGGCGACACAGAACGAAGCACTGGAACTGCAGGAGACACAGAACGAAGCACCGGAACTGCAGGAGAACCGGTTGAGCCAGGGGGATGGCTTCCTCTCCAAAAGGCTCATTCACCCTGTCTGCCTCCCCAACACACCAGCACCCAGAGGCCCGGGACGTGAGAGGACGGGTGCTCCTGGTCTTTTCCCCCCTCCTTGGCACCTCTCCGGAGGCTCCGGGGTCTCACAGAGCTCAGCCTGAGAACCAAGGCCCTGACTGAAGGCCTCCAGGGCCAACATCCCGATATGCCAGGACTCCCTGGCTCTCCTTGTTGGTGGCGGAGCCAGGTAGGCCAAGGAGGAAGCAGCTCTGATGAGAAGAAATAATGGCAAGCTATGGAAGGAGCCCTGAGTGCTTAGCCTGTAAGGAGCTATGCTGTCTTCTGTAATCGTGGTCTATTTCACCCTCATAACAATCCTGTTATATATAGATACCCCTGTTATCTGTTTCATGAATGAGGACATCAAAGAATAGGCCAGTGGAGAGACTTGCCCAAGTTCAACAGCATGCGAGCGGCAGAGGTGACCTGGACGCGGGCCTATGAGCTCCGGAGCTTCTGTACACCACACTAGGCTCCCTCAGTCTCTGATGCTCGCTCTGCCAGGCCCGGCCCAGGCTTCTCAGAACGTGGCCTCACACAGCCACACAGGGTGAAGAACCGGGGCATGGGAAAGCTTGGCTGCAGGGTGTCAATGGGCCCTTTGATAAAAAAACCCACTGTGGCTGAGCCGCCGTGCGGCCTTACCGGTTCTTATTCTCCAGCTCCGCGATGAGCTGCCTCTGCTGCTTATTCGCGTCGATGGTGAAGGAGATGTCCGGAGCGCCTCTCTGCTGAGCTGGCTGCTGCAAAACACGAGGGTTGCACGGTTTACTATCTCTCCTTGCAGACTCCACATACTGGCTTAAGGGACTGGGAGTAGCTTAATGCCATGTGGACACAGCTCCACTGTGGACCAGGAGCTGCAGAAATTGGCTCTGCTTCTAGTTCTTCCGAAACCCAGCTGCACCTTTCCCAGGACTGGTTTAAGAGAGATGGGACTTTGGAAACCGAGGGATATAATTTCATGTGACTAAAAACCACTAATTCAAAACATAGGGTTAGATTATGTATACATCCCTTTGTCTTGCCTTCTCTATTCTACAGTACATCGTAGAAATTTCTTGATGTCAATATTTACTGATTTCAAAACAATTAAAAAAATATTTCTACCAAAGAATGCCAGACTTTAAAAAATGGTACCCATTGCCTAAGCCTGCTTTTTAACATCTGGAAGGGTGATTGTAGGAAAGGTTAAAGTGTGGTAAATATCTGGCTTTTGTAAAGCTTCTTTATAATTTTTTAATTAGCAGTTATTTTAAAAGAGAAATGACTTGAAAAAAGGACTAAGAAAAAGAAATAAAAAGAAACGATTTGAGTTGCTAATGAATAAGTCTGAGATCCTACATTTTATATCCGAAATGCCTTTCTCTAGCTAAGTCTGGCACATGGCAGCTTTGACCTGTGATCCAGGCTTTTCTTCTGATTTCACTGCATACTTTTTTTTCCCCGTACATATTTTACATATTATTAACAAAAGCAGAAACTTATTTGGGTCATTGCTGTGCTCTTTATATTAAGTGATCCAGAATTATCCAGAGAAATCAGGCGTTAGTCTGTTTCAGCAATATTGTAACAGAATAAGTCAAACTATGATCTCTGGTACCAGAATGAGAGCTGAGAAGGGAAAAGATGGAAGGAGTGGGACAATTCTTAGGTCTTGGAGACCACATAGTACTCTGGAGCTCTGCCTAGTTGTAGCACCGACTATCAGCAGGTGTGGGGAACCTTTTCCTGCAGAGAGCCATTTGGATATTTATAACATCACTCTCAGGCCATACAGAATTACCAACTTAAACATTAGCCTGCTGTATTTGGTCAAACATTAACTCACCTCTCATGCTTTGGCAGGGCCAGACCAAATGGCTTCCTGGGTTATATGAGGCCAGATGTTCCCTATCCCTGAGCTAAGGGATCAACAATGAACACGACACTCTCACACTCCCACTACTTACAGACGACGTGGACTCTGCTGCCAGTCTTGCCGCGTACCTGGCGATCAGCCTGTGTTCCTCATCCAGCCGGTTTGAGCTCTCCAGCATACTATTGAGAACAGAGCGAGGAGACTGTTAAGCGACGGGAAGGATGCACGTATTCCTATCGCCACCAAGGGTGTTGATATTTCAATGTTTCAGTGCAAAAATTTGAAAACGATATAAAATCCTATTAGGCTAATGATCTCAGACTTGGATTTATAACAACAAATCCATAACATGAATCTAGTATGTGGCCAGGAAGGTCACTAATAAATCCTGTTTCACTCACTCCAATTGTCTTACTGAGAAAGCTCCAAGGAGGAGTAATGGTTTTGATGAACATTTCTGATAAAAGAACATTTTCTCTTTAATTTTATTGCTTTTGATATTTTTATTTCCTCATAACACAAGTAATACAGGTACAAAATAGGCATGTTAGAAAATAAGGACGCTAGATTTAAAAAACAAACAAATAAACAACGGTGGTCAGCCTAGTGTTCACTCTTTTGTATAAGCCTCTCCCTTTAGTATGGGCTGGACTTACTGACTTCTAGGGAATATAATATAAAATATGGTAGGAGTACTGGAATGTCACTTCTAAGGTTAGGTTATATAAGACCATGGAATATGCCTGGGGCATGTTTTCCCTCTCTGAGCCCTTTTGGCTTGCTTGCTCTGTGGGAAGCTAAGTCCCATGCCATTAGGTGGCTTGTGGAAAGGCCCATGTCATGAGGCGCCAGAGCCAGCCAGCCCCTTGTGAATGAATGAATTCACATGGGCAGAGCCTTCAGATGAGATCACAGCCCCAGCCAACAGTTTGATGGCAACCTCATGAAAATCCTCTTGAGCCACCAGCCCCTCCCTGTGGGCAGGGGAGGGTTGGACCTGAGAATCTGCATTTCTAACAAGCTTCTGAGATCGATCCTCTGGTACTACTGGTACAAAGACACTTTGAGTAGCAATGACCTAGAAGATCTTAAAAATAAGATGGAACATCTAAACTATGTAAAATAGATCACTTTTCATGAGCATTTAACTGATATCCATGTAGTATGTGTGATATTTTCCAAACATTCCCTTATGACAGAACATTTTAAGATTTCAGGTTGACATAGGTATAGTATCAATCCCTGTGGATTGAGATTTTAATTGGCATACAAAATACTTGCAGTAAGAAAATAATTTCAAAGCGAAGGGAGTTAGTTTTGGAAAACTGATGCTGCAAAGCCGACATTTGTCTTTATAACTCGGTATGTGCACTTCGCAGTGGCCAAAAGCAATAAACTGAACTTCTTGTTGCAGCTTTAATGAGAAAGGAAGTCCCACTGTCTTTGCTTTAAACATAAAACTACCCACAAAAAAGCAATTTAATTTGATTTTACCATGTTTATCATTTCTGGCTGGTGCATCAGTGACTGAAAGCCTACTTAAACACTGTGTAGAGTATAGGGCCCCTCGCTCCAAGCCCTGGACAACGATGTGTTTGACGGCTTGAAAGTGACTTGGTCAAAAATGTTTGTGAGTGTTTTGGTAAATAAATAACAAAAAACCTTGATAAAACAAACAAACAAAAAAACCAAAATACCTCATGATCAAAGTGTCTTTTATCACGAATGACCAGTAAGTACATATAAACAATAGGAAAGTTACATAGAGAAGCCTCCTGGAAATGTAAGATGTAAAATTATGGGATTTGGTCTAGCAAGCTATAATTCATCCTCTATACTTTTCCTCCCCCAGCACTGGCCGAATGAGGGGAGGAGTGATATATTGCCCCTTTGTGCACACAAAGGATTTATGAGTCCACCTGTGCCATTTCAGAGTGTGCAGAGTGAACGAGGCATCTCTCTGATAAATCCCATTATTTCAAGATTTCAATTACAAATGGTTGAAAATGAATGGCCAATAATCCCTAAATCATTAAAGAAATACGGATTCCAACACTTGCTCTATCCCTGGCTATTCATTTCAAATCTTTGGAATCAGTAATATGTTGCTACAAGACTATGATGAATTAAAAAGAGGCTGCTGTGTAGACGGAATCTTGAATGGGAAGATCGATTATTTTGAAAGCTCTCCAGCGTCTACCTTAACTACATGGCCAGTGGCTGCTGTGAATGGTTGAAAATGGCACTCTAGGAAACTCAAGTGGCCCAGCCAAGCGATGGCTTAGTAAATTGTGACTTAGCAGAGATTTCTGGGGACTCGGGGTTTAGTCACATTTTTGGTTTGTTTGTTTCTCTGCAGTCTTGTTCTGACTGCCAGGGTGAGAAAGTCAATCAAATAATGTCACCCAAAGGCTGCCAGACAAAGTGGTATGTATTCCCTTAATATTTTTTTCCACTTGGTAATGGGAATTTTATCACCAGAGATTAATTTTTAAGGTCATTAGGCCTCAGGTACTACCCTTTTTTAAAATGGAAATGGCTAGCAGGAGGATTATTGCCTAAGAAAGCATGGTCCATTAATGCCAAGGGGAGGATTGCTTTAGGAGGTTATGGCCTATGTTTTGCAATTGGTTGAGAGCAAAACGCTGGATAGAGCCCTGTTCAGGCTGTCAGGAGTCAGTAAGCAGAAGACAGGACGGAAAAGAATGAAGTGATACTGGGGTCCAGGAAGTGATTTTATGGGACTGAGGATTGAGGAGAAAAATGAAGGAACTCTTAATGCTTCAACTGTTGGCACTTTACTGTCAGGTTTAAAAGGAAAGTACGGGAAATCATAAATTGGCAATCTTCATGGATAATAATAATAAAATCTGCACAATAATGGCTTCTCTATAGTGAACTCCTTTATTGAGACCTTAACAACCCACTATGTTATAATCATGGACAAGGCCCTACATTCTATCTTCTACAAACTCACAAGTTCCTCCATTTCCTTCTATCCCAACTGTCACCGATATGCTGCATGCCACTGATCTTTGCCTGAATTAGTGTAAAGGCCTCTCAACAGGTCGCTTTGATTTTAGATTTAGTCTTCCCTCCAATTCATTTTCTAGCCTTCAGTCAGTGTGATCATTTAAAAATGAGGTTGGCTGAAATAGTCTTATGCATGAAACCCTTCTACAGGTTCTCGTTTTTTGAAATTCTTAAACAAGTTGGATAAGGTCCTGCATCCTTATTCAAGATAAGCTCCTCAGAGGGACCATGTTCTCTCTGCCATGAATCATTTCTCTGCCTCCTCCTCACACACCCACCTGGCTAATTTCTCTTCATCCCGCTGTTGTCTTTAGCTGCCATTTCTTACCTTTACCTCCAAACTCCAAATTCAGGTTCATAGCTTCTCATGTATTCCACAGCAGTCTGCACCGCACTGCCGTTTTTATAGCTGCAATCCCTCTGCATTTTAATTGACTTTTCCCTTGTCTTTATCCTTTGCTAAACTGTCACTCCTTTGATGGCAGGATGGTTCAATGTTTTCAGTATTAGCTCAGTGCTTAGAACATGGCAACCACTACTCAAGAATTAGTTGGACTAAAGAATGTATAGGTTAGCTCTCTTAGCTGACATTACCATGGTCTTTGGTTCACCTCTTCCATCTTTCTGGACTCTGCATGCATCCTCAACACTTTGAGAAAACTAGAAGAATACAGGTTAAATACTGTATTTTAAAACTTGCCATGCTATCTAAAATGGAACTGTGGAAGATTCACTTTGGGTGGAGATAAAAAACCGGGATACATTGCCTGACTGCATACAGATTCCTCATCTGCTAAAGTTCATAAAAATGTCATTATGCTCATTCATATTCATTATCAGATCTCCACCCCCAATCGTGGCAAATTCTCTTCTGGTTTACATTTGTTAATGTTGTTGTAAAGATTAGGAAAGCAGATGGCGTCTAAAAGGGGTAAGATCCCACTCAAAAGAAATGCTCATTCTCAGAAGGGGTGAATAACTGGTAGGGGTGTTATAAAAGAATGTGTGGGAGGTTGGGCTGGATCATTTCTGGATTCAAACCTCAGCCTTCCCACTTACTAGTTGTGTAACTCAGGGCAAGTCAACCTCTTTGTGCCTCAGTTTTCTCATCAATATAACAGGGGTAATATGGTAACTTACTTCATGGCTAACAACCCCAAATCCACACAAAGTGTTTAGACTAGAGCCAGGGCACATGGTAAGACTGTGAGAATTTTTTTTACTCGACTCTTGGTGCAAAAATTGCTATGACAATTTGCACCATAACTTCCTTACCTATAAATCAGCTTTCTGCCCAAGCAAATGTGATTGGTTACTGTTCAGTATTCAGGTTTATACCAAAAAGGAGAAAGACAGTTAAGTTGAATCAATGAAAGAACTTATAGAAGCAATAGGTGGTCTTTATAACTCAGTAATAGGTGGACAGTAATAGCCTTCTCTTTCTTTTCCTTGCTTTTGCAAGTAAAGCTGCCCACTGCCATGAATTTCTAATCAAAATGTCCTTTTTGTACAATTTATCCAACAACATCTGAGTCCAGGTCCCATTCCGAATTCTTTATTTTAGCACATTTGGAGAAAGCGAACTCTGAAGTTTATTCATTCAACAATATTGAACACACATGAGCTATCACTTCATTTCTACCATATTATAATGGACAGAGCTTACAAAATAGAATTTTAAAATATTTTTAGATGCCTCCAGTCCTATTAAAAATCAAGGAGGGAGGTACTAACACTGAGTTATTCCCATGTGCCCAGTACTACACTAATTTAAATCTATAGCCTCATCAAATTGGTAGTGTCACTCTCATCTTCCATGGAAACTTAAAATGTATTGAATCTATAACGGAGAAGGGAACACATCTTAAAATCAATTTATTATCTGATTATGCCGAGAAAACCTCTGTGGATACAACAGAGCCAATGCAGATATGTGACACTCTTCAGATACTTATTTCTAGCCTCCTAAGGAAATATCTTTCTCAGAAGTCTAGTTCTATAACTACAGCTCCTAAACATTTCACAGAAGAAAGGAATGTGTTAACAAGTAAATGAAACTCATATAAAAGAGACACTGTCAGTGAGTGTAGACAACTCCTTTTTCCTTTCAATAGGTTGCAATTTACTTACATTTTTTCAAAATCAA